ACATGGAAATCATGCTGCAAATCACACCCTATATTGCTCGAGTGTACAAGAAGCTAAGCAACATATAATTGATCTCGGGTCGCCCCAGAATATTGCTTCTATAGACAGGCTCGTCAAGGCGATGAAGAAACTCGCCCGATCTGGTATGGAGAGCATCGCCAAGCCATACGAGATCATGGAATTAGCGCAGCGCGTTCATCCTGAGCCCCAACGTGACAAACCCAGCCACTGGACACCAGATCAAGGACGCACAAGCAGATGCTCCAATCACAATGCCGACTCTTGCTGTCATTCATCATGAAATGACCACGCGCATGTCTTTTGGGAATAATTGACTGCCACAGTTGGTACTGCAGGATGCAATACGCCTTTGGGAGGCAGGGACTGATCAAAACTAGCTTGTTCCGTATCTATCAACGAGAGCACACCAAATTGGATCGGGTCTGACACAACTAGCTGTGATTAATCCAAGACTGCGATTCAAAGCTTTCTTTCACAACTGTAAGAGATCGAAAGCCGTCGAGCGCAGGCCGCCCTCGGCTTACTGCCCATCGCCATCAGCCTCAGATATCCAAGCACTTGATGCATTTCAGTAGTTCTCCCGGCCACCTCCACTTGCAGCCTCTGTTCCGAGACAAGTCCTCGGCGAGACATGCACTCGGTGATCTACGCCTGTGTATCATGCAGCATGTTGTAAAGGAGAGGGTCATCTGACCCGAGCCGCGGACTTCCAGACTTGGTGTCACTTTATCTCGCGATTTTGATCGATAGACGAGACACAGAACTCGCGGCGGTGCGTTTTCCAAAGTATGGACGTGGCAGCTCCGCGCGCGATCGTGGTGGCCCGTGAACCGTGTCAAGGGCCCGACTCGTCCACCTTGATATCTGCCTGCCTCTACTTCAGTCCAACGATCAAGCGGTACGTCTCGACGATAGCAGACCTGGGCAGCAATATGAAAAAAGATCAAGAGGCGAAGCAGTGCGTGGGAGGCCCCTTCGAGCCTCATGACATAAAAAGAGCCACTTTCCCAAGGGTAACATCCTCTTCACCGTCTCTCTATTCACATTCATCTGTTCAAAATACAAAGATTCTATCCTTCTTCACTTGTCGCCATCTGCACCTGACCGCATTACCCTCGTCCTCCTTGTTCTTTACCCTCAGAATCATCGGTCACCACAATGCTCAACTACGATGAACGCTCTTCACCTTCAGAGCTGTTGGACTCTACACCAGCCCTCACTTCTTCAATGTCCGAGTCATCGGACACCACGATGTCCTGCTGCGATGAGTGCTCGTTTCCATTTGAACGAGCCGTCTCTACCACGACCTGCGATGGATGTTATTTATCGCCCGAGTCGTCGGCTAGTACCATGACGTGCGATGGGTCGTGTTGTTGCATGACTGATGTGGCAGGCCGGGTCGGCAATGATGGCGATGCCTACCAATCATTGTATCCTGATTCGCATCCTGGGGGGACCGCCTGCAAAGAAGGTGATACGACCGTTGGCTTTGCAGGAGCCAAAGATGGTAAAACGCCTCATTAGCTCGTCCGTCTCGCGCAAGCTAACCTCACTTAGTCGGCCCCACCCGCATGCCTGCATACTGGAGTCTGCATTGTATCAGTCTCTGGAGCGGCACGCCCCTGGTTGTGGTACGGTCTTCTCCGCTGGCTTGGGTGGCTACGGACGTGTACGATCTGGACCCTGATGCACTCAACAACTTCTGTGCTCGCTTTAGTAGGTGGGTGGACTTTTTCCACCCAACGGCAAACGACCACAAGGTCCTCCCACTCTATCCTCCCAAAATTTTGCCGGGTAGACACCGCATTCTCGATATCTCGGATATGATTTTACGTGGGGGCGAATGGTATGTGATTCTCAGAGTCGAGGCTTGTATGAGCCTGGAAGAAGTACAAAACAACGATGATATCCGACCATGGGTGGTGGGGGACTTGAATACTAAGCGTTGGCCAGGACTTGAGTAAAGTTGCAAGGGTGCCTCAACTGGGAGATAAATTAGAAGATAGTTCATTATCGGCGAGTTTATACTGTACAGCTTTCTTGAGATTCGGTGATGAATCTATTTGGTATTGACTGCCCTGAGGATCACTTCTCCATCTCACCTTGCATTGCAGTCTAGAAGAGGTGGTGTTGCTGGAGCGGGAGTCTCCTCGCGTCTTCACTCTGAGGAACTCCTCCCCACGTATGAGTAATCCCTCTCAGAATCGGGTCGTTCCCTTTTGTGTCTGGCTCTTGTTCGGCTTTCACACTCTTGATGTTTTTTTGTTCCACAGTAACAACTAACAATTACAAATACAGACTTATGAAACTCCTCTATATTAATTCAATCCCGTTCTGCTCAGTTTTGTCCTATCCCCACCATCCTTGCATCTGCACCTAGGTAGGCGTTGATTCCACAATCTCGGTGTGGTAAATACTGTTTGAGCTGAGGTTGAAGACTACGTACGTGGTGGAGAGTGCCATCTTATCTGCTTCACCTGACCGAGCCCCCCACTACTGCAAGGTCCTCGGTATCTCTCCACACGGGATTGCAAGCCCATGTGTAGTCTGGCAGCGAATGGTGCAGTGCATGATGCAGAAGCCGGCCACAGACTTGCCTACAACCGTATATAAATCTGGCCAAACAATGCAAATCAACCGAAGAGCACGGAGGAGATGGTACTGTAAAGTCATCATACAGGCAGCTCAAATTCTTTTTTTTCGTCTAGGATTGGTTTTTTGTTTTCGATCAAAGGTCTGCATCCAACAACAAAAGGGAGACGGGGCAGACAAAACGGAAACAAAAGAAGAAGAAATAAAGTAGAGTCGAGCAAATTCTCATTTCGGTCAAGGCAAGAGGCGATTGCAGACCTCATTCCAAACCATAGAGCCGGTCTTGGTCTGGAAGTTGCCGCCCTCTAAGCCCGGAGCTTCCACAGAACAAGGCATAGCCACAATCTCTTACGCATTTACACATTAGCAAATCATTCTTTTCTGGACAATTAGAGCTTAGTTTTCTGTCAAGCATAGCTGAGTCTAAGTTACAGGACAAAATATAGTTCGGGACTTGGTACAACCATCACAGTGAGCATCAGGGCGAGACTATCCCACTCATAATGAACGTAAGCACAGACCAAGCAAGCTCTGAGTACCCCTCCCTCTCTCTCGGGAATACCCTCAAAGGCCTTCGTCCAGCCACCGTCACGCTGGAGAATCCTACCAGGCGTAGTTGCATACTTTGTCAGTGGCTCTCATGCTGTTCTTCGATTTATCTGTTTCTACAATCTATCGATCAGCATGAGATAGGATTTGACAGGTGCTATGATCCATCGGATTGGCTGTCTGCCTGAGCTCTGCTGACCCAGTCAGATCTGCGGCTTTGTACAGTCGTATTCTTCTGGGACCCAGCCCGACGATCGGTAAGAGACACCGGCAGTCGTTGGAAACAGTTTAGCGCTGTGATGCGAACAGCCAACCACTTCCGAACCAACTTTCGACGGCGATCTATTATGGAAGTCTCTCGCGTATTGATGCCTGAGCTTCCGGGCTCCCTGGCTGGCAAACAGCGTAGCTGCCCTGCTCAGCTCTGCAATGTCGCTTCGTCTGAACCATATTGGTCGTCGCAGTCGGGAACAGTCGACTTCCACGATTTAGCGAACTGTCACGGGCACGAATGCCATATACCAAATTGCACGAACACCGGGCCTTCACCACGAGTGGCGTAACTGGTGAGGTCCACCATATGCTTGATGTGTAAAATCCCAACTTCGGGCTGATCATGAATAGCAACCCATTTCCTGAATAGGAAGGAATATACAAATTCCGGGTGCGTCTCCCCAAAGTACCAGACCGGAAGTAGCATCTAATAAGGTGCCACAAGTCTGTCGATAAGGCCGCCTCCAACTCCAACAGTGCCACTTGAGCGCAGTGAGGGAAATCAGCCAATATAACATCTTAAGAGCTTTTGGGGTTTATTTACCATCTTTGCCAGTCGACCCTAAAAGCCATTTCCGATACCCCCATAACATGAATGTCCGTTACGACTAGACCTCAGTGACAATCGAGACACTCAGATCCTAAAGTTCCGACTAAGATCGTGGAGAATCCCCGAGGACCAATGTGATCTGTCCCTCCTATAAAATAAATTGTTTCCCGCCAAAAAATTGTCAAGATCCGTGAGTCGCAGACCACTTTGACTCTCTTTTCAACCACTAACGGACCACCAATAAATCCATGAGACTGCAGAGATACCTCGATGATGTGTTGTTGCCCACCCGACTACACGATATTGATATTGAGGACTACGCGACGACTACAAAGGTGAGATACGGGTAGAAAAGGATCGATAATTTACCTAGGTGCACTTGATTTATCGTCGCCTTCCCTCGCGTTCCCTCGCGGGCGCTTTTCAAGTCGCCAATGGATCAGTGACCAAGACAGCTGGTGCGCCTTAGAATCGAAGTGTATTTTCGTCTATCCGAACGCATGTAAACATTCCACGAGTTTCTATTATTTACGGCTGTTGATTGACAAAGATGTCTTGCCTATACAAGGCTGCGCTCACTGACTTGACAGCCGAGAATCCTGCCACAGCCAAGGTGTATTTACAACAAGTCTGTCGGAGCAGACCACGGTTTTCCCAACCATCATGTCACTCCGAGCCTCTCATGCTCAAATTTGTTCAGAACTCGCGTCCGGTGGTCATACGTAACGCCGGCCCGGACCCTCGCACGTCATAGCGTAGGTCAGAACCCACCCCGCCACCACCTTAGCATCCATCATACCACACAAAGCAGGCGTAGATCGAGGCAAAGAGAAGATCCAAGATGCTAAACACCAGTCTGCCCACGAAGAGGATTAGAAAGACCCCGAGATCAATCACCAATAGTACCGGACCGAAGATGACTGCGACAATTATGATGAGAGGCTTGGCGAGTGCTTTAGCCATCTTGTTGGTCCTTTGCTTGAATTGAGTGCACATCGAGGCCCACTTTACTCTTCTGGCCTCTCGTTTGGCTTTCCTCTGTTCATCAAGGGGTGAGGCGGGAACGTTGGACCGGACATGGTCTTCGCTCTTTTCGTCGACAGTCACAGGACTCGTGGCCATGACCGGCTTGGTGATCGCCAGAACGTCCTCGTTCTCCGTGGGCCCCTTCCTGCATCCCGTCCTCCGCTCGGGGTTCCCAAAGCAGGTCATGATCTTTGAGGAGGATTTCTTGATAAAAGAGACACAGGTAGACATTGTGAAGGTGGACGATAGCAAAGCTGATCGACGTTGGAAGTTTGCTGGTTGTCGATCTCAAGGTAATCGCAGAACAATATTCAGGCGCGACTATGTATTGGCTTGGTGAGTACAGTAGAGTCAGTCGGGACGGGGAGAGACAGATATTGTTCTCAAGATGCGGAATAACGAGCCAATTTATGTTGGCTCAACCCGAGCAGCTCTGTCTCCTTCAGCCCGCGGCGTGTACCAGAAAGGCTTAGATGGTCGAGGCTTGGCAAGAAATATGCCTTGCCAACCGACGACAGCTCTCTTTTCAGGCCTGCAGATATCAGGACAGACTCTGGTCTAGATCTGCTTCGGAGGGGATGGGGCATGTGAATTGCCCAATCTGTGACGATCAGCTTGTTGACACGCACAAGCAGCTCTGCGGTCGCTTGAAATGAATAGTACTGGCGGCTTAAGATCTGAGGAGAGATAGCATCCCAAGTGTAACAGCCTGGCCTAGCGACCGAAGACGCAATGGTGACTGGTTAAAGCCGGACACCGCTGCTTTGCAATTTGACTGGGAGGCTGTGGGTCCGGAGAGAGTGCAGTTGGGACTTATTACTACCAAGCAACTTCATCCTCCCAAGCCCTCGTTGCAAATCCGGGTGAAAAGATGGTTTGGCCAATGGCTATAGGCACCACCGACTTTACTAACATGGCCCAGCCACAATGGGCAGAAGACTGACAAAGCCCGCTCCATATTCCTAAAAGGCTGAGCTCGCAAGGAATTGTGAGCAAATATTGTTGCCATTAAATCTCTGGAGCTCTCCCAGACTGTTTATGGTGTCAACTGGTGTCTGCATGTCCCAATTGTTTTAGTAATGGTGGTTATAGTTACCTCACTAAAAACTTCGTGAGAATGGATTCGACTAGCATATATGGCCCGGTCGCAAACCCACGCGCAAGGACGCCCGACGATAAATTGCAACCCGGAGCTAAATCCCTGTTGTGTAATTAGCATGTTGGCTCGTCCTAGGCGTCTTCAATGTGAGAGAAAACGCAACAGTAGGACTTGGGTGAAACATAAACAAGAACGACTCAATACGTATGGTCTGTTTGCATGTCCGGGATATATGGGGGAAAACTCGAGAAGTTCGCCACTGACCGTGGCTAATTTACATAATTCATAACACAGCGTCAGAACATTTTGTTCAGGGGCAAACCTGATGTCAGGAAATAGGTTGACTTAGCAGCATTGGCAATGCCTCCTGGAAAACAAATCCCGGGGTAGACAAACGTTCTCAGGCAAAATAAATCCAGAAGCCAGGGGCTGATTGAATTTTCCCAACGACTGCCACGAAAGATTTCACGGAGCAGCGTTGCTTCCATCATCAACGACTTGGTCGCCATCACAGACCAAGTACGGTCAAGCCCACTTGCTGCTGTTTATCGCGGTCGAATTTGAAACCCGGAAATTATTTTCCTAGAAGTTTGAAGAACTTTCCCGCCTGGAAGGCTGACTCCAATGACCACCGAACTCGTAATGATTCTCTTGCGATGACCACTTGCGACCTTGTCTGGGCAGTGTTCCCGAGGCCGCCCGCCCAATCTTCTCTGGATTTACATCTAAACACAGCCAAGGATTCCCAGTCACCCAAGCTGAGGGTTCTCAGTCACTCAATCTGAGCTTATCGGTTCCTCCTATGCTCGAGCTCTTCTGAGTACTTAAGACGTCGAGCCCACCCGGCGAGGCAACTTCTCTGCTCGGCCTCCAAGCTCCCCGCCAACAAAGATATACTTCACAGCACATTTTCTTCTGCAGTCACCATTAAAAAACGTTGTGACAGCTCATTCCAAAATAAGACATGATGCCCTTGGCTAAGGATACCGGACTTGAGAGGCTCGATGCATACAAAGCCTACACCGAGGGCTTGCCCCAGACCTTCTGCAACTGCAAGAAGACGACGACAGACCACGTGGAATTGGCGTACTGTATGTCCATTAGCACGTATGCCAACCCCGATACGAACCTGTACAGTGAAAACATACAGGCGCTGCGGTTCGACGGCGCCGGCGCCAGCACAGGGTCCGACTGCGAGGGCCTGTTCATAGCATGGGCTGACGAAAGAATTGAGTCGGTCCGCGAGCTGGTTCATGTGTTTGGCCGCAATGAGGTGCCGCCCCAGGTAGACAGAAGCCGCCGGAATTTTTACGAGCTAAAATTCGTCACGGCAAAGTGTGAGCAGAGTAAGGATGAGGATGACATGTTGCAGCTTGGCAAGGCTGCAGTGCCGATAACTGCTAGATGCAGTACTACAACGTCATTTCGCATTCCTGCTGGCGGCGAGCCTGGTGATATGCCCTCGAATATGCCCGCCATTGTGCGGCAGGCGTGGGGCAGATGTACGGCGCGGTATTTCCCTTACGTCCGGCTCAAGCAGGCGCTGCGCCTTCTCGGAGTGGTGGACAAGCAGACACAGCATAGGTTGCTGGACTGGCTGAGGCAGCAGAATCGCCTTGAGTGGTCCCAAATGTTGCGTCATCCATGGGAAGTGGCGCACCTGGAGCTCCTCGCGGGCAGGTGGGTGATGGGGACGGATCAAGGACGCCGGTAAGGAAGGGCAGCATACGGCAGAGAGTACGAGGCGGCAGTGGCTGACTCCCGCTGATCCACTCACCAAATGACAGCAATGTTGGAAGAAGTGCGTGCGGCCGGGATGAACGCAAATGAGGAAGTGGAACGAGATGGCCTCGCAAAGGCTGTTCAAAAACAAATGCGAAAATTGCGAAAATTAGAACGTTGGGGCTAATCACGGCTGTTACTGTGGCCTATGAGGTAGCAACTAAAGCAAACGACGACGCCAGGAAAGCTAGGGAAGCGTCCACAAAGGCTTGCGATGCTGTGGCGCGCTTGATCCAAGAACCAGGTTATACAGGCTGCCTTGTTGTTTCGTCTGGTCTGGTGGCTCACACAATTTAAACTTCCTACAACAGAGTGACATTCACTCAGAGCCCGCGTGGATGAGCCGAATGGAGCACACCAGGTCCGGTATTATTGGAAATGATTTCCATTTTTGCCAAAACTTCACTCACAAGCCCGAAAGTGTGGTTCCATCAATATTGCTCCTCCACGATACACTCTGGACTAAGCAGCCTCGAGCCGTCGCTGGCCCAGAACACTGTGGCGCTAAGCTGATTCTTGGCCATGCATTAGTACCATCATGTCTCATTTCTCCCAGTCCTTTCCGCAATTCTTGCTTCGAGTGGAATTGAACCCACAGAGGTGGACGAACAGGACTTATCGGAATTAAACTTGCGAGATATTTTAGGGCCGGACAAAACCAAAATGCAACATTATTTGACCGTTACTCTACACACCAGTTGCGAGCCTGATCTATATGTACCAGCCGAGGACCTAATCAGAATAGAAAGTTGCCTCGAATCTCTCGCACCGCTGAGGATTCTCGCACATCTCGATTATCACCGCGGCGCGAACACGAAGCCTCCCACCACCCTGCACCTCACCTTCGAAATAGGTGCTTGTGTCACTTAGACGCAGGTGAACGACCAAGCCTCCCCCGTCCGGCCGCACCGTCATCTTGAGCTGTTTTAACGCCCCTACAAAATGCACCGTTTCCACCGTGTTCTTTCTCATGTCCATCCAGGACCCATTCAAGCCAACCCGTCGATTCCATGTGTAGCGACTCCCTCCCTCTTCGCCAATGATTTCTTCCAGTCGAATATACACCGATTTTCCGCCCTTTAATGGTGGTGAAGAGGATCGTCTAGAAACGTTTGACTTTGATATCCTGGATCTCGATCGTGTCTGATTGAGAGTAGGCATTCGATTTCGCTTCCGCGCCTGCTGTAGACGTCCTGAAGGGGCGGACGGGCCTGTCCGTCTCCAAGAAGCTTTAGACTCTGCTTGACCAATCTCAGAGGTTTCCTCGTCAGTGGTGTCCGAGCTGTGTTTGTCGCTGCTCTCGCAGCATTGTTGCCCGTCGTCACCTGGCGCCACGGGACCATAATCGGGAGGCGGCTCGAGTTTGGTCTCTTGCAAGGCATTACACCACCAGACGTTCAATGATGCATCGACTTCGCGCAACAGGGCTTCCAGGTCGAGCTGGCGAGGAGCGTTGAAAAAAGTGAAGTAGGATTTTTCGTGCAGGCCAGGTGCCAAAAATGGATTTGAAGAGTAATTGATTGGCCAATCTTCCTGTAATCCGCACAAGTCGTCGGTAAAACATTGTTCAACCCCCGGGACAACGCCGTCATCGGCTCCATGATTGAAACAAATCGCACTTGGTGCTGATGAGACGGGCTCGTTGTAATGATCGGGACCTTCAAAGGAGCCTCCGTGTCCTGGAATCACCTTCGACAGCAGATCCGGCGCAAGCTGTGATCCAAGAAACTGGCCAAGCTCGTCCATTAAGGCCTCGTCTACCATCTCGCAATTCTGTTGAGAGGAATTGATTGATAGGATGTCGATACCTGGGCTTGGGTCCAAGGCGTACGGATTATTCAGTATCGCCTCACGCATCTGTTCCTCAGGCAACAGTTGGAAGTATCCCAGACTTAACCCAGACTGCGGGCGTGGAGAAGTGCCCACTGTCGGACTCAACGTCATGGAAGATGAGAAAGCGGCTTCCTCAACGAAGTCATCGTAAGAGCGGAGTTCAGGCTTCATGGCGGCGGTTGGTTGTCTGTAGACTGCTGGCTTGGAGAGTTGTTGAGAAAACAGGTACTTTGTAAAGAAAGCTGGCTGCCTTAAGTACTTGAGACTGGTAGTCTCAGGCCGGGATACGTAAGAGGCAGGGGGCGCTTATGGTGCCAGGCCAAGCAAAAAGACCTGATGTAAATTCTCTCAGTGGCAACTTCTGTACCTTTTCAGACTCCGTTTCAGTTTGATTCAGAGCTGAAAGGTGCTGGGCGGCCTCCTGCAGTGCTGCCGCTGGAGACGATACAGCCGGGTTGATGAGGTTAGCTGATGGTTGAGGCTGCCCGTGAATGGGTGAGCATTGGCCAACAGGACCATCGCTCCGATTGAGCCTGCCGCCATTGGACTAGTATGGGTGATGTCGATCAGTGAGGCCACATTTGTTGTCGTCCGAAATTCCTTGAACGAGACCTGCGCGAGGCGCAACCCTCCACAGCCTCCGACAAGGCTCTCAGTTGAGATGCCTGCCAACATGGTCAGTAACAATACGATGCCAAAGATGAAGGGAAAATTGATGCGCTGCTTGCCAATCGGAGCACCTATGAATTTTAAGTCAAATTCAAGGCATCAATCTTTAAACTAGTGGCTCATCATGAATTCCTGTCCACCGAGACTTGTGATCCTGAGCTTGGAGAGGTAGGACGTATTAGTTTCCAACTCGATTCGTCGGCAGGTATGGAGCAGCCCATGCTTCAGCCACGAGGCTCATATAAGGGATTAGAGCGCCAACAAGGCATTCTATTGAGGCGAGGCTGCAACGCCGATACGAGATGAAGTTTGATCCTGACCGTGAGGCGAAAGGACAGGACCCACCTCTCCTTATTGGCTCCCCAAGGCCCCTTTCGACAAGGGAGACAGACGACATCTGAAAGGCGCATGGCTTGCACAATGCGTGGAGGCCTCTTGTCGATCTCTACGCGATGCTTCAGAATTGTTTGAAAATTGGCAGCCGGTTGAGCTTGGTAGTGGCCACCATGGATCCCTATAATCTGGCTCATCGAGTTGTCGGAACGGGTCAATCTCGATGGGTCAGCAAGCGACACAGTGTCAGGAACAACACCCTTGATCACGGTGGTGGGGGCGTTGAGTGGTCTTAAAGGATCATTTCCAAGTCGACCCAACTTTGTTGACTTTATATGGCTGGGAGCTCTAGCAGACAACAGAATCCGTCGCATCAAGGAAGAATTATGTTCCCCACTGCTGAACTCAGATGCAAAGCGTGAGCACAAGCAGTGATTGATATAGCAGATCCGGAATGCAAGGATGCTCTCTGTATTACTATTCAAGAAATCGACGACGCATGCAGGGAAACTGTCAATCATAGGTATGCTTGGTACTGTATGATTTCTTGGAGTAAAAGGATTTAGTGAGATTTGTCGGAAGGCAGTTAGGCTACGCTACGTAATACGTCCCGTCCAGCCAATGACATGCTGTGTTTCTGCCGGTCGAATTGCGCCCTAGATCTGCCCAATCAAAGTCTGCCAATCGAACTGCTGTTCATGCCAGACCTAAGAATGTCTGTTAGCATAGGGTTGTACATATGCGGTCTCAAAGATGTACTGACGGCGAATCCGTGAGACAGAAAGAGCGCCGTAAATATGCTCGAGACGAGTCAGATATACTGTAGTGACACAAACTGCTACGACTATGAGTATGGGCAGACGTGCTCCGAGGAGAACTGATAATATTTTCTCACAGCCCTAGTCCGCCAAGGAGGCGACAAGGCCTAGCTCGACATCAAAATTCTGGACGCAAATCGGCCAAGATTTGATCATCTCGCGTTCTCCCTCTTCATATACGCCCATCGCTCAAGATTCAGCTTATAGAGGTCTTTGACCGCGCAACATGTGTGAAGATACCACTGCTCGGTGGTTGAAACCCCCCCTGATATCGCTGAGCCACAGGCGACACCATCCAGTGCATTTACGGGATATGGTTATGGGTATGAACAACGAAAAATTCAGCAGTCTTGGAAAGTCTGTGGCCGAGTCAATGATGACAATTTCCTCAACCTGAGTCGCCTTGCATGAAAAAGGCCGAGCCTTCTAGTCCAGGGAGAGAAGCCCTTTTGTGTCACAGTAAATAGATCAAAGAAATCGACAAGCAAAATAGAAGATGGTAACTAGATCACTGAGTCTGGATTCGAGACCGTTCACGTGGATGCCCGAAATATGAAATGCACAGGCGGTAAGAGCCGGAATAAGAAAGGTCGAGGCAAAAATTGGAGCAAAAATAATAGACGAGATGACGTCTCGCTGTGGCGAAAAAATGGGGAGACGGTGGTCAAAACAAGTCTTTAGGCTTTGAATCCAGGCTCCTCCGAATCACAAAAGGCAACGTACTTTACCTTTCGAAAGGCACCGCATTCGTCAAAAGACGCTTTTCCTAAAACGAAAAGGAAAAGTTAGCCATGGACAGTTTGATACTAGTTCGCAAGGCCTTGCCTTTCCGGTCAGAGTAATGTGATCATGATGCCTTTTCTGGAAAGACTGGCGAGTGAAGCGCCGATCACTCACCGGCCAAAATCTTGCCCACGTACTCATTGATGATTTATCCCAATACCACTCCTATGATTAGTGTTGCTCCATTGTAACAATCTCCGATCCTGCGATGACATGAAATTTCGTTGAAGCCCGAATTTGGGCTGAGTCTCGCGTTACAGCTGGATCATGCCTCCCCATGGCAGGTGACTGTGCGTGGAAATTGATCGTGGGTGGCGCAGCGTAGATGCCATCGATTGATCATGGCAAGCTCACACAGCTTACCTCCCTCGCAGTAGTAATGCTACCCGACTGTATCATCTCTCTCCCCCGTTTCGGAACAATATTTAGCGATGGCTGCCATGTCTGTAGATAATGCTTGACAGGGCAAAGCTTGAAAAGGCATCTGAGTGATTGAGACAGACACGTTACCATCGTTAAGTCATAGGCACACTTTGATCCAACTGGCGAGGCACTCCCTGTGTCGCCTTTGCATGTGAATGTGCTTCTGGTCAGCCACCTACAGTGTCAAGTCTATACTACAGTAAATAACTAGTTGTTCGGGACCGTAACACTGAACATCTCAGCTCGAGAATCTCAACTCAGAAAAGTCTGGCAGTCACAGGATGTGTCTTTTGTGTTCATACTGTAGTACCAGGCAATTGGCCAACTTTGGACCAGGACGACACTTTCCGTCGCTGGCTCAAGACGGCGCACAAAGGGAGAATATCAGAGCGGCGTCTGAAATGGCCACAACGGGCAAAGCTTTGTAATTGTCCGCGAATAAACAGACCCCCACTTACCCCCTGTTCCGAAAAGGACGCCCCGCAGAGGTGACAGATTGGGGTTAAGTCATTTTGACTGTGGCCGTTGCGGCAGCGGTAACGGTGTTCGTAACGGTGACGGGACGCGTGAGGGGTTTTGGACCGGCAGAAAAAGTTACGCCCGTTGTGTTGAGTCGGGGAGAGGGGAGAAGGGCCGGGGTCGGAGGCGCCAGGCCCACCGCCGTGAGGGGAAGGGCGCGCGGCCCACACGCACGATTTTCCACACGCACGATTTTTACTATTAAAAGAAAATTAAAATAATAAAATAAATAAAAATAATTTTATTTAATTATATTCTTTTTATAAAAATTTAATAAACTTAAATTTAATTATTTAATATATAATAAAAAACTTATAATAATAATTAAAGTATTTAAAAAATAAAAGTATTATTTAATAAAAGCTAAATATTAAATATAAGTATTTACTAATTATAAAAATTTAACTTATTTTATTATTATTAAAAAACTTAATAAATAATAAATTAAATAAATAAAAATTTTTTTATAGTTTAATATTAAAATAATTTATTAAAAAAAATTTAAAAATAAATAAGCAAATACTTTTAATAAAAAGCTAAACTATTAATAAAAAATACTCTTTAAAATATAAATAATACTATATATTAATAATAATAAAAGCTTAAAAATAAAATAGCACTAGCTAACTATAGCTTATAAAATATAATTTTAAAAACATTTAATTAATAAAGTTAAATAATAATATAATAATATTTTAAATAATAAAAAAATATAGCTATAAAATATTAATAATATACTATTTTATAA